TAAGAAACACAAAGGCNGGAATTTGAACAAGATAAAAATGAAGAATGAGGCTCGAACACGTACATGATATGCTGTTTTAAAAACGATATTTACCTTATCTAGTATGCTTTTATGATTTTCGACAAATAATTTAGAGGATTGACAAGCTCTCAAGAAAGAAGCACGAAAGCAAAATGATTATTTCTAGTCGAATTTGTTGAAAATTTGAAGAATGTTTGAATATGTATATAGAATATGAAAAATTCAAGTGTTGAATGAATGATGGTTTCTAATGTTAGTTTTTTATGTTTGGAATTGAAAATCAATCACTTATTCATAGATTTATAACATTAAATCACGGAAAGACTCCAAACACTTGTGAAAAGTTCCTAGTTAAGGCACAAAAAATTCAAATAAAAAATCAACCCAATGACTAAACTTTTGAACCATGCGTAAGCATGGTAGAAGCAAAAATATTTCAGTTTTCGGCAGACGAGGCCATGTGTAATGACCATACATACGCATGGTTAAGCAAAAACTACCAAATATTGCCTTTCAATTTCATCATTAATTCATTCATATTTCAACCCAAAAAGGACCCAAATTTTGAACAACAAATAATTATATAACAATCACCTACTTGTTCAAAATTTTCATATATTCACACCTAGGAACACTGATGCATAAGGATGAGATATCTTTAGATTTAAATATAACAACGGTTTAAATCTGACAAAGTATTATCGAAATTTCAAGTAACACGATAGCTTTGAACCAGTTTTTCCTTGTGAACCAATGAAATCATACACATGAGTGTTATTTTTGCACAAGTTCTTCAAACTCGCTTAGTGGCCATATACTTATCCTACTCGTTGAACTTTTAAGAAAGAAACTTTAACTCTCTATTGAAACGGCACCACCTCGAAATTCAAATATGTTAAGTTTTTTTTTCAATATCTTTGTTATTTTTAGAGAGAACCGTACTTTCTTATTGAACCTCATTAAGAATTTTATAAACTTGTTCCTTCAATCGTAACAACTAACACTATTTATCAAGGATATAGTTTTATAATAGGCTAATAGTCTTGAAAGTTATCCACCTATCGAATGACTTGTTATTACCATTTGAACCTAGATATACTTGTTTTGTGTAGTTAGGTAGAGTTGTCGTCATTGGTGGACTTTTAATCAAAGAGTTTCAACCTCATCCTTCTCAATGTTGATTTTACTAACTCTCTTGTAAGATATTTAGTCAACAAATCAGTTAAGTTTTCACTAGACTTAACATATGTGAGAGAAATTACTCAATGCTTCATTAATTTTCTCACATACTCATGTTTTAGACTTATATGTCTAGACTTTTTCTTATATACTTCACTATATGCTCGTGCTAAGGTTTGAATAAGATATAAATGAAGAACGAGGCTCGAAGATGTATATGATACGCTTTTCTAAAAATGATATTTGCCTTCTCTAGTATGCTTTTAGGATTTTCGACAAATAATTTAGAGGATTGATAAGTTTTCAAGAAAGAAGTACAAAAGTGAAATGAATATTTCTAGTCAAACTAGGGAAAACTTGAAGAATGTTTGAATATGTGTATAGAATAGGGAAAATTCAAGTGTAGAATGAATGATGACTTCCAATGTTTATTCTTATGTTTGGAATTGAAAATCTATCACCTATTTATAGATTTCTAACATTATACCACGAAAATGCTCTAAAGACTTCTGAAAAGTCGAAAACTTTCCTCCAAAAGGCACAAAAAATTCAAACAAAAAATCAACCCAACAATTAAAATTTTGAACTATGCACATGCATGGTAGAAGCAAAAATGCTTCAATTTTTCTTCAAACAACGCATTGCCGTCTAGCCCATGCGTACTCATGGTTAAGCATAAACCACCCAATATTGCTTTCCAAATTCATCATTAATTCATTCACATTTCAACCCAAAAAGGATCCAAATTTTGAACAACGAATAATTATATAACAATTGTCTTGTGCGCTATATCAAAAATTTGCTCTAATAAATAAACGTAACTCTCAAACTGAGAATTAATTACTCGTGCCTATTTGGTAGAGATTTTTGGATAATAGAATTTAAGAAAGTGATTTTTTTTCAAAGAATGTGTGGTTAAAAATAAAGAAAATTTATTAATTCACGTACAAAATTATTTTATTGAAAAAATATATGTGATTAAAAATGAATTTTAGAAATTGAGGGCTAAACGTGGGCAAATGTTATATATTTTACTTGTTTTTAATTTTGTGTTATTATTTCTTTCTGAGATTAGATATTTAATCCAAAAAATTATTTGGAAGAGGATCCCGTTAAGTGTAAATCTCCCATCAATTATCTGTAATATATTAAATATCACATCGAGGGAGAATAATTTTTTGGAGGATTATAGCCCTACTAAAATTCAATTATTTCGGTAATATCTTATTTTTCCTTTTTCAATATATGTTTAATTTACAAACTGTAATAAATACTATAATTAATTCTTAATTAATTAAGATTCAAATTCATTTAATTACGTGCATATATAGTAATTAACATATAGTAATTAACATTTATTTTCTGCGGCTTGCATTTCTTTCACATTTAGATAAAAACGGTAAATGAAGTGTCAAACATTACTTTCACTGTATTTATAAAATATTTTAGAATAACGTGCAATATACGTTCAACTCTAACTAGTTTATATAATGGTCTTTAACATTGTTGATATTTTAAAATGAAGCTCATGTTTTCGTATAGTTTTAAAGTTCATAACACTCAAACAAGTCATTTAATCAGTCTAGATTCTCAAACGAGTTATCAAATTGCAATATCGTTGTTCTTAAACACACCACCATTTTGTAATGACATTTTACGGAAAAAATCATGAATTAGACAAAAAACAAATCAAATATATAATAGTTTGAATTTTTCCTCTTAATAAAATTGACTTTTTAAAACAAAATTTGGACGGCAATAAAAAAGTAATAACAAAACAAACATGTTTTACGTGTGCTTGTACTAGAGAACAAAAAAATATGAGCAGTAGCCGTTGGGTTTTGGTGCTCCATTGACCATATTCCATAACCCACGTGCTTGTAGAATAAACCCACCAAGTAAAACAAAATATGTAAAGAATATGCATAACATAATGGCTTTGATAAACAAAAGTTACAATGCTTTTGCATTATTTTATGATGAACAAGACCAGTTACATCAGTACTAAAGACATTTTTACCTACCCAAAAAATTCTTCCAAATATTTTAATTTACTTATAAGTAGAGGACAAATAAAATTAATTTACTTACAAGTAGAGGGCAAAGAAATTTTAACATTTACTCAACTTATAATCAAGTTTTATGTTAGTCATTGAACTTTATTTTATTTCACAATATTCTGCGACATTGTTTTTTTTTTAATTAGAAAACTCAATGAAATTCTGTTGATATTTCTAATGAAATGTCGTCGTTGAAGACACCACATCAAACATTTCATTGACAAAATAATAAATTTTATTTAACAGCTTGTTTGGGAGGGATTAAAATTAGATTAAAATTGAAAATATAGTTGTTAGAGTTGACTTTTATTAGACGAGTGAGACCCAATAACGACTATATTTTCAATTTTAATTGGATTTTGATCCTTCCCAAACAAGGTCTAAGTAACTAAATTGAAACAAAATAAAGCTCAGTGAACAAGAAACTTCCCATAAGTTCAGATATTTTAACCCTATGAAGTAAATAAGTTTTATTAGAAAGGATATTGGGTCTAACTCAACCTAACAAAACTAACTTGTTAAGGAATGATTGCTCTCATCTTATTAAGTGGATCGTGTAAATATCACTAGTCAATGTGGGATTCTAATACTCCCCCTCACGCATAGTGTGGACCATTCCAAACAACTGTGAACAAATCGATATTGAGTGCATCCAACATTGCAAAATTGAGTCTGCTCTCATACCATATTAGAAAGGATATTAGACCTAACTCAACCTAACAAAATCGGCTTGTTAGGGGAGGATTGCTCACACTTTATTAAATGGATCGTGTAAATATCACCAGTCAATGTGAAACTCTAATAAATTTGTTTCAAAATAAGAGCGTGTTTGTGACACATACTTTTGAAATAATGTATTATTGAATAGTAGATTGATGGAGAATGTGTGGTTAAAAATGAAGGAAAAGTTATTGATGTGATGAAAAATATTATTTATTGAAGAATGTGTAGTTGAAAATGAGTAGAAGAATGAGAATGAAAAAAATAATATGTACCAAACAGGGAAGTAATAGTTTTTAAGAAATGAAAGAGATTGACCTGACTATGAGATGTGCAGTTCCAAGCTCCCACTAAACGATAGAGCAAACACTACTACAGAATTCATTCATTAAACTTTACAGCATTTACATAGTAAGAATAAAAAACAAAAGCGTTAAAGAGGAAAAACAAAAGGGAAAATGAATTGCAACACGTCAAAATTCCGAGTCAACATTCAAAAATTCTATCGAGTGGAACGATTGGTGTTTCATAAGAAGGCAAAATATATATTGAACAAAGATGTTAAAAAAGGGTTTCCTTTTTGAAATAAAGCTACTGCCTTTTTCCAAAACATTTACGGCGTGTTCGGTAGAGATTAAAATCGGATTAAAATTCAAAAACTAGCCGTTATTGTTGACTTTTATTAGACGAGTGAGATCCAATAACGACTATATTTTCAATTTTAATATTCACGTTAACATAATGTCACATTTTAATATTCACGTTAACATAATGTCATATGACATTATATCATTACACTGTTCAAAATATAGTCAATTTTTTCATCCAATAATCTATTGTCACCTAAACTTCTGCCACTGCATTTGTCAAAATTCTTCTCATAAAGTGACATAATCCATTGATTTAACTTCAATTTTCAAAATTCATTGCACAACAAATTGATTATAGCCATAACATTGCCAACATAGTCACATCTAATTATCGAAATATCCATTCTCGCTTCCGCATCCATCAATCACTTCAAAACCCGTACCTCCTGTTTATAGGTTTTGATGTGTAATCCACAATGGGGATTCCACAGCCGTAAGTACGATCTTTGCTGTAGCTCCGGCCTGTCGCTCCAATTAAACCTGGCAGCCAATACTGTGCCTTCGTGCCTTTGCTCATCTTTTTGTAGTAGGCGGGAACACTATTGTACGCCGGGTGATCCGTTTGTAAAGATGAACAAGAACTGGAGTCGTCCGTATGGAAAGCCCAAGTTTGATTTAACTCGAATTTGGGCCCTGTTGCTTGAAGCCTAATAAGAAAGATAATGAGAAATTTACACAAATAGCACGAACTCTGGCTGAATTTTGGTGTTGTGGTTACTTTGAATTAAACTTGAATGTTTAATTAAGTTGTGACCTTTCGAAATTCCCATTCCCATTTACCTTTTGATCAGTTATGCAATAACACCCCATTATTACATCCTTTCCTCTCCCACACTATAAATTCCCCTTTTCCCTTTCATTTTCTACATCAAAATTCAGAAAAAAATGGCTCTCAAGGGGATATTACTACTTTTAATAATTACTACTAATATTATGCCACATTCTGTCTATTCGGCTAGACAAATCATACCCCTAATTCCGGGATCTGGTCTCCAAGCCAGGCTCGAATCCAATGGGAACACGCTCGACTGCTGGACCGCACTAACCGAGATAAGATCGTGCTCGAACGAGATTATGACTTATTTCTTGAATGGTGCTATTGATATTAGTCCTACATGTTGCCAAGGCATAAGCGTGATAACACACGAATGCTGGCCTACCTTGTTGACTACCCTCGGATTTACTCCGGATGAAACCTACGTTTTACGAGGATACTGTGATGCCTCGAGCACTAGTTCGACAAAAACCGGACCTGTTTCGAGTCCGTTAGTGTTGCCTTTATCTGCTGCCATGATCAATTAGAATGGAGTTCAATTATTACTGCTTTTTTCTAGTTTTTTTTTTTTTTGGTCTATTGGGCGGGTCACTTTGAGTCTATGGTTGTTAAGGCTTTATATAGTATGAATCTATCTAATATTAGGTATATATGGAATTAATAATTTTACGAAATTTATAGTTTTTGGCTTAGTCTTAAGCTTAATTATAGAGAATCTATTCATTTTTAAATGATTAAATATATAGAATCATAATAATTTATTGTTGAGCTTCGTGCAGAAACATCCATTTTTAATTTTAAAAGTCGAGGTTTAAGTCCATGTTTGATTTTTAGTCTATGTTTGATTTAGCTAAAATAGTTGATAAAAATTCAAATCAAAGTAACAATTAATTTAACTGAATATTTCATGAGATCCACAATGTTTGATATTTCATGCATTTGAATTTACATATGATAACGGTCGTCTATTTTCGACCACATTTTTAAAGAATTTCGACGTTCTTCCAACTTGATTCATATCATATGAATCATTGTTTCGAGCATAAACACCACATTTATGTGTGTGCGAGTCCCTCCACGGCCTTGTGCTTCTAGTTTGAGAAAAACCATCAACATGAACCCCAACTTTGGCAGCATCAACATCATGGACAACATTTAGCCGGAGCCACGCACGGAACTAGGATGGACTCCTGATAATACATTGCCATGGTGGCATGAAGAGGAGCTGCCTCAAACACATGCCGGACGTCCCATGCGGCACCTAGGCGTCCCCTTTGAATTGCCAAACTCCCGATGAATAATTGTTTCCCTAAAGATAAAATTCATGTTGAGAACTAAAGTTTTGAATAGAAGAATGTTAAATCATTCGGATATGCGTATCATGATCACGAGCAATGGATTTCATTGCTATAGTGCTTTTACGAGTAACACAGTACATGCTATTCTATCATATTAAACCTTTTTCATTGGATCTCTAATCACAAAAGTTGTGTTACTCTTGGAGGTGACTCCTTTGTGGACTGAAGTCCATCCCTCTCAATGGTATATTTACGTCCATTATGGACTACAATTTGATACTATCAATTTTTATTGAGAATATATTCGCAAACCTCTTATTTTCTGCATGCACACCTACGCGTACGAAATTTCTGATATTGACGTTTAGTAACACGTTTGAACTTATACATCCATTCAATTCTTGTATTTCACTTGTAGTTCTATAATCCTATTTTTTAAAACTTTTTAAAAGTTAATTTTACAGCTAAGGGTAAAATATAAGGTTTATCGATATGATATGATATGAAATTTTAAATACCCTACATTACAAAAATATTTAATTTCTTGTGGAACTTCTTCGTCGCATTCCAAAAGTGGCCTGTTTTTCACCCAACCCAAATACATGAGAACGTTTCTTGAGAAGGCAAAACTAGCAGGTGCTAAGGACTCAATCCCCCAATGTCTAATGGAAATATACACCTAAGTAAATAAAATAAGTTCAATGAAATCACTTAAATTATTAAACTCCTGAAGTTTGGTCTAATAAACTGCAAAATTCTGTCCCTTCCTCCCTAATTCAATTATAATTACCATAAAATGACATTCATGTTGACAAAGTAAACCAAATATAGTTAAGGAATCACAAACATCGTGTTGGAAATAATTTTATGTTTCCTAGGAATTAATTAAGATGTAAATTTTGCTCATACTCTGGTGATAAATAAAATTTTCTGGTATCATCTATACCATAAATACAAAGATCTTCCGAGGATAGTAACAAACATTTAGTGATGCATAAGCTAATGAATTCAATGAAACGGACATTACTCTTTCACACTAAATCCGATGTAAGTGTTTGATTTCTTTCAATGGCTTAATCAGCCTATAATTGATTGATTAATCGAAAATCGCTATTCTAAACTCGTGTCATCTCTTCTTTGTACTGATACTTTTGGTATTGTACGACTCCAAGATAAAATCCTTATAGGTCATATCTGGTTCTCTTTCTAAGGACACGACCACATGAAGGAAAAAACTCCTCATATATATTGAACTGCCTAGTTCTCTTTTGTTTCTTCAGGGCATTCCAATATTTATAGGGTAACCACTATGAGGCTCCATCCCCGTCTAGTAAATATAGTGGTTTTGAGTTCTCTAACTTCAGGGTACTTTACGGTGGTGAGCATGGTGGCAGAGATTAGGGCCATGGCGGCCTGAAGGTTTGAATTTGTGCTACCAGTTTGAAGGTTGAGATTTGGGGTTTGGTGGTGGTTTTGGAAATCTTTAGATATTTGGTTGCATGAGATTCAAGGTATTCGGTCGACAGAAATGAAGTGGTTGTGGAGGAACCATCGACGACTGAGTGTGGGGTTCTACAACTGTTGGCGATGACGAAGAGTGACAGGCTTGGGTATGGATTTGGCAACAGCGACACTAGTGGATTCGACGGTTTGAATGTGTAATCAATCGTGTAACAAAGTGTAATGTAACAAGAAAAATAAAACAGTAATGTTTGAGCTACATTATTTTTTTCATTCTCATTCTTCTACTCATTTTTAACCACACATTTTTCAATAAAATAATATTTTTCATCACATCAATAACCTTTCTTCTTTTTTAACCACATATTCCTCATCACATCACCATGAAAAATGCATTCTTTTTTCAAAAATGTGCATCAAACAGGGGCTAATTAAAAAGTTGTAACATGAAATGCAATACAACTTTTTCAATATTTATTTTGTGACACACTATGTAACATTTTTTAAAATATAACACAATTTTTTAATAAAAAATATATTACAGTATTTTGAAGTTCTTTTATTTTAATGACGTTTTGCGTGAAGAACTCAATCAATTACTTTTCCGTTTGTCATTTGAAATCCCCAATTTGAGAGTTATTTCGTCTAAGTTTAAAAAGCTTAATTATAAGTAAATTTTAAGTGGAGTAACTATTTTATTGATCAAACTTAAATTATATAACTGATATAAACTAGAGAGCGAAAAGAACAAAAGAGAGTAGTAAATGGAATTTTGTATTATATTGAAAATCAAAACCCAATATTTATATGGAAGAATTAGTGAGACAATGGCAATAAAAACTAAGGTTGCAGGGGGTATAGTAGTCATTTATTAATAAAAATATAATTTAAAACCCTCTCCTTTAAATAACATATTACAAAATATCTATCTCGTTAAAACGTTGTTTGATAAAAACTTAATATGACAAAAATATCAAAAAAAAGGAAAAAGAGTAAAGTGATTTTAGAGTATTAAAAATAAGTGTGCCTTATTAAAACCTTGTCAGTCCCATAAAACTAATTGAAGGAAAAATAGTACAGCTATTCCACCTGATATTGATTACTGAAAATTTTTGAGTTGACGCATTTTAATCTTGTGAATCAATTTTTTGAATGTAAATGTCGACAGTGTTTTTGTGAATAAATCAATCACATTGTCATTTGAGCAAATTTGTTGAACATCGATGTCGTCATTTTTCTGAAACTTATATGTATGGAATAATTTTGGAGAAATATGCTTCGATGTTTTTTTTTATATAGTCTCATTTGAGTTGTGCAATATAAGGTGCATTGTCTTCATACAAAATTATTGAACTATCTTTTGTTAAAGTGTATTTCATAGTGTCTTGTCACAGCCTTCAAGCATTATAATCTTCATATAAGATTTTATCAACTGTTCGGACTGTATGACCAGAAACTTCAAATTTCTCTAGTAAACTCAAATCTACTAGGATTATGTCCTTTTAATGGCCAATCATTGCTTCACTTCAATGAATTTATTTCAATTTTTCGCTATTTATAATATGAACTGATGCATCACGTGCAAAACTGTTGTCAACAACTTTTTTTTTTCGATTCTATTCTTTTCTAATAATGACATAACTTCTTGATATCTCACTACTTTCAATATTTCAAATACTTGAACCTCTTCTAAAGCTTTATAAATAGTTATGTTTATATTTTCTCCAGCAATATAGCTCCCTAAATGAGATCATCTTCCCCATTCGCTCCATTTTTCTTTTTAAAGAATTTGCTTTGAAATTGAATGTTGTCACGCTTCGACGTATTATTGATAGATCAAATATAATGTTAGTGAATTGTCTTTTTAGGAGCCAATTTGATTTGGAGCATTTAAAGCTGGTGTATGAGATGATCATTTGAAAACCCACAAGTGCACGGGATCGTGATCAAGTAATATAATGATGAATAGAGTGTCGAACTCACGAGCATTATGTGTTTAATCGAGTTAAAATTAATTACAACTTTAATTGAATAGCAAAAAAGTTGTGATTTTTTATAGTAATTTTAAATTATCAATTAAACTAGTGAAAACAAGTCAATGTATTTTTCAAATATGTGAGATGTATTGCTAAGATGTCGAATCTCCATATTAATCCATTTTTAGTGTAATAATT